GAGGCAATATATAAATTGGTTAGAGCTCAATTTTACATGTATAAGGATAACAAGGATTTCTTTTCATGATTTCACGCTTCATTTGGACGACAGCGAGCTTCAACCCACACCTGTCAAATTTTTAGTGAAAAATATATTTAAAAAAAAAAAAAAACCCTCCAATTTGCCCATATAGTAGAGCTTTTGGTAATATGAAAGGTTGAGGGGCTCAAATGATATTTTTCATTTACTTACTCTACACATTACAATGCAAAGAAAATACCTTTTGGAATTTCTGTTTTAATAGAATTAAAAATGAATATAGTAAATATTTAAATAAAGAAATAAATCAGTTATGAGTAAGTGTGTGCTAGAGAATATTCAGCTTTTCCAATGCGACAAAAATACCCTTGGGTTTGTGTGTTCATAATTGAGCAAATTAAGGCTTTAATATAAAATAATTATGGGACTTGTTTCTTGATAGTTGTTCAAAGATTGGCTGATTTGTCCTAGATGTCCTCCACCTATTAAAGTTATCTAAAAAAAAATTGCAAGTCTCAATTTCGAATAAAAGAGATTGATTGCATTAGATAGTTCTACAATTATTACAATAATCAAAAGTCAAATCATCAAACTAGTAGTAAAAAAAAAAAAAAAGAGGGCTACTGCTTGTACAGAAAGGAATCAACAGAAATGCACCAGAATAGACACAATAGGAGGTGAGTGGTTTTTTTTTTAAATATTTTACTCACATGGAGCCTACCCGCATGTGAGTTTTCTGGCAGAATTCTGGTTTAATTCATTCTGTACAAATGAATTAAACAAAAAAAAAAAAAAAAAAAATTGTTATTTCACATTGAAAAACCAGCAAAGAAATTGATTCTTTAGTTTTCTTCTTATCAATTTCTTCTTTGTAGTCTAATCGATTTTTGAACCATTTTTTTATTAAATCAGCTCATCTAGTTTGATTCTCATATTAGCATAACTCACTAAACCTGGCTTGATGATATCATTAAAACCTCCAAATTTATCATAAGAGATGACAATCTATCTATACCTATAAGTTTAGAGAGGTGTTTGATGCACATTATAAAGAAGAAAATGCATTTTATGATGTGATGAAAAATATGTTGTTAAAAAGTAAGAAAAAATTTTGAATTTACATGTAATATCATTTTATTGAATAATGTATAATTGAAAATGAGTTTTAAAAGAATGATTTTTTTCAAAAATGTGTATCAAACAGGGGCTTAAATGCAAATGGATATAATTTATAATTATTTTTTATATTATGAGCAATTATATTAGCATAAATTCCCATTATAAACAATTATTTATAATTGCAAATAATTGGATTTTAGCATAAAATTTTGGATCTTGCTAATGTACATTAGGAGTTACATAATGTTACATGACACTCCATTATTTGTTAGTTTAAAATAAAATAAACTTTTTCATCCAATCATTTTTCTTCACATCATATTATGGCCTTGTATGGGAGGGATTAAAATAGGATTAAAATTGAAAATATAGCCGTTATTGTTGACTTTTATTAGATGAGTGAGACCCAATAACGGTCATATTTTCAATTTTAATTGGCTTTTAATCCCTCCCGAACGGGGCCTATGTTACCTCCTATGTACAATTTTAATATACAAGTAGCCGAATTCTAAAATTTTTGCCATTATGCTGTATAATGGCACTAGGGTATTTTAGAGATTTTCCTACATGGCTCTATCACAACTACACACAGAGGACCCACAGTCACGGTGTCCTAGAAAAGAATATGGTAAATAAACAAAAGCAACCTCGCCAGCCTATGGCTGTTTCCTGTTTAGTTTACCCCTCTACTATTTGCCTAATCACCTACACCACCTTGTCGGGTGTCCATTATGGAGACTCTTGTGTAAGTGATGATGTACCACTAGAATAATCCATACAATAATGCTAAGACAAGGTGGTGTAGGTGATTGGGCAAATAGTAGAGGGGTAAACTAAACCGGAAATAGCCATAGGCTGGCGAGGTTGCTTTTGTGGGCTCCGGGTGTCCATTATGAACATCTCGATGTAAGAGGTGATGTACCTCTAGCATCTCCCATCATATATTTTGTGGGATTCATAACTTTTTAACTATATGCCCCTGTTTGGCCCCCATTTTGGAGTGTTAAAATTTTTTGTAGTTGTGATTGATGAGAGAATGCGTAGAAGAAAAGTAATGAAAATTTTTAGATTTGTGTGTAATATTATTTTATTTGATGAATGTGTGATTGAAACAAAGAGAGAGAAAAAATTAATGTAATTTAATGGAAAAAAAATTTAGATCTGTGTGTAATATTATTTAATCAACGCTTATCAAATTATACTAAAAATTTAATTTTAATCCCCACCAAACATGCACATAATAAGATAATAAGCATTAATAACTTTTTGGCTATTGAGTCGATGTCTTATTATTTTTTAAAAAAATTGTTGCAATCTATATCATCTTTTGTACTTGTTTATTTTCAATCTTTATTTTTTAACAATGTTATCTCTAACATATCATTCCTTGATGCATGTGATACATGGTTCTATTCAAAATGATTGTTAAATTCGGTAAAAATATGAATTTCACTCTCCCATATCCAATATCTCCTTGGATCGACTAACGTTCAGTCTTCAATCTTCATTTCTTTACAGCGTTGTCTAAATATTTTCCTTTTTTTTTCGTGAGTTGTTCTATTAACAAAAAAAATTCTTGTTCAAGATGAATGCTAAAATCGTGTAAAATACAAAATTATCCTCAAGTTTGATAAAAAAAAAATAAGAGAGAAAAAAATTATATTCACCATCTCTTTAGTTCCGGCCCTAGCACCTCATCTTGTCACTTTCATGATGTGAATTTTTGGTGAGTTGTCATCATTGTCACAACCATGAGTTGGTAAATAAATTGAGAAATGCTATGAGAACATGCTCAAATCCATGTTTAAATTTAGGGAGGACACGTGTCGGCTTCGGATTGAATAGTTTAAAAATAAAAACACCCAACACCCAATCATTTCCCTACACATCACCCTATCTCCTTGTTTCCTTTTTTGAGTGGATTTTTCCAAATAAATTTAGCTCTCGGTTGATCTCAATTAATTAAATATTCATTTTTTTTCCAACTGGTTTTCAACAACTCATTCTCACAATGAAATATTTTACACATAAATTCAATTTTTTCTACTTTTTAACCACACATTCTTCAACAATTCACTATTACAAAACACATCTTCAAAATGTCGTTGCTATTTGAATTGAAGTTTAATAACTCAATTATAACAAATTAAAAGTTGAAGGACCAAATTCAGATTTTGGTATAGAAAAAGGCGCATTATAGCATGTTGGGCCCTATCTGCCTAATCATAAGACAACAAAATCATTGTAAAACTGCAAGATAAAATTCAAAAAGTTGAAAAGCCGACAGTGACTAGGACAAGCCAAGCACGTGACCTGCCAATAACGTATCTGCAAAAATTTTGCTTTTAGGATTTTAAGACCATAGCATTGTTCTATCTGAATCAGTGCCTGTTTGAGGCACCATTTTTATTCTAGACTAGAATAAATCTTAGTACAGTATATTAATGAAGAATATGTAGTTAAAAAATATGAAATTTTTTTTGAATTTGAGTATAATATTATTTTATTAAAGAATGTATGATTAAAATGAAAATAGAAAAAAATTTATTTTGAAAATAGTAGAATCATACAAGGCATTAATCCCACATATCCCCTCGGTCTGAATCCTTGAATAAATAGCGTTTAGCCTGAATTTGAGATATTTTTTTTTTGTAAAAAGTAATTCTTTTTTTCTTTAAGAATGTGTAATAAAAAGTAGAGAAAAGAGATAATTTATTTATAAATTAGTATATAAAAAGAATATGTAAAAATTCATTTTTCCTCAAATTTATTTTCAACCATATATTCTCTTGATAAAATAATTTACATGTAAATCTAAAACTTTTTCCTACTTTCTAAATATACAAACTCAAAAAATAAATAAAAAATAAATAAAAATTCACTATTATAAATATTTTTAATGAAAAATGGGGCTCAAAGGGCTAAAAAGAGTTTGAAAAAAACAAAAAAATTCAAAAAATTGGAGCAAAATATGTTTAATTTCCTTTTTGTTCGCCCAATATCTGAAGATTTGCACGTTTAAGACCGTCTCCGGAGTCAATCGCATAAATTTTTGCCAGCAAAAAACTGTTATATCAAATGATTCAATTTATTTTATTTATTCACGATGTCCGCATCAGTATCTCTGACAGTCTGGCCTTATGTTTGGACTGTTTGCAGTTTGTATTTTTCTGGTAAATAGCACAGTAGTAACATTCTTGTGTGATTTCATCTACATGTACATCCCTGTCGATAAAGGATGACATCCTCTTTCATGTGCAGAGGAATTCAAGTGATGTGATAAATGAGTTGAAAATTAAGAGTCTTGATCTCGTCACCTAGAACAACAGTGTGGAGAAAGGGCTAGGTGGGGGTGTACATGTAGCATTATTGTTCTTGTATTACTATATTGGATAGAGATTTCGAAGCTAATCTTGGACGGATATGGTGTGAAGAAGCTGAAAATCATTTGCATACAGGCAAATAAAATTTTGGGGGGGATCAGTTTACAGCAACATAGAATTCACATGCTACCATTCCCAGATCTCAAGACTCTTAAGAATTTCAGGCCCAGTTTCTGTTTTTCTTTCTCAAGAAATTTCTCTTCATTTTCTTTTATTTTCTCCTGCACAAAAATGGTGTCCATTTAGTGAGGGCTCTGTATAATTGTTCAAGACTGCAACTTTATCTTCTTGGCTCTGTCATTGTCTGAAGTTTGTGAATTCTTTGAGCTCAAAACTGCAATTTTGAGCTTCTTTGGGAGAAAATGCTTTATAGGGTAAGCAGAAAATGTGGAGGCAGTTAACTTGTGTTAGAATGGCTTATTATATGAAGAAAGCCAAGATTTTGCAAAGTTAAATTGGAGTGAGTATTATCTGAGTATGGAAAGCAACAAATCTCTGCTGTGGAAAGTAGGATTAATAATTTTGACATTGATAGATGGTTCTTATTCAACACTATCTCCTTCTGGTATTAATTATGAAGGTAAAGTTCTTACTTGAAATAGTGTATTTTTATTTTTATTTTTTAAAATCATATTATAGTTCAGTGCCTCCACAAACATTTTTTTTTCTATGATTTCTTTTTCTTTTATTTATTATTTTTAAAATTTGATTAGAGTAGAATTGGTCAAGTATCCATTTTTCCTCCTTTTGTATATAGAGTTTAAGAGTTAGAAACACTGTGGCTTCAAGACGTGTATTTTTTTTGGATGATATGTATCTCTAATTTTGACTGTTGAATTCCTTTCCTTTAATTTTATATAGTTGTAGCTTTGATGGCTATAAAGAGTGATTTACATGATCCATATGAAGTTCTGGAAAATTGGGATGCTAATTCTGTAGATCCTTGTAGTTGGAGGATGGTTACTTGTTCCCCAGATGGATATGTTTCTGCTCTGTAAGTTGGCCTACACTTTTATTTTACTGTTGGAGGATTAATTGTTATAACTCTTCATAAAACTTTGCTCATTGTACTCAATTTTTTATTTGTTGGTTTTCCTTGTTATTAGAGGATTACCTAGTTTGAGTTTGTCTGGAAAATTATCGGATGGAGTTGGGAACCTCACTAACTTGCACTCTGTGTAAGTTTTCTAATGTCATTTTTGCCTAGCTTTAATTATATGCTTTGCCAATTCCCCTTTATTGCATTATTGTTGGACTATTTGGAGCTTTATAGACTTTCACTTCTCTCGTCGGCTGGTAGCTCTCACATTGAGGATGAACCATTATGAGTGTGCTTCTTCTGTCTTTTGTTTAGCTCATTATTGCTTTCGGGATTGGGATTAGGGCTTAATAGCTAACAGTCGTACGAGAATCTTCGTCTCAAGCAAAATAATGTACTTGAAGATAAATAATTTCCGGTCTTAAATGTGTCATCCATTGATGTCTAATGCAGTAGCCATGATGTTCTGATTAAGGTTTTCACATGCCTCTGTAGGTTGCTGCAAAACAATGACATTACTGGACCTATTCCTGCTGCTATTGGGAAGTTACAGAAGCTTCAAACACTCGATCTCTCCAACAATAAATTCAATGGTGGACTTCCCAGTTCTCTTGGGGACCTGAAGAATTTAAATTACCTGTGAGTTTAGGGACTTTGCCTATCTTGACTAGCTAAAGATTTTGAAATTGGATATTTACATTGATTTTGGATTGCCTCGTGTATTTGTTCTTCTTTGTGCAAGACAGGCGCCTCAACAACAACAGCTTTACTGGATCAATTCCTGACTCTCTGTCCAAACTTGAAAGCCTCGCTCTGGTGTATGCTTTCACTCGATGCTACCTTTTTCTCAAATTGATGTTGACTATCTTAGGAAGAACCTAAGTTTGTTTCTTTAATGTTTGTGTTAAATACTGACAATCATTAACTGCTTGCAGGGACCTATCTTTCAATAATGTTAGTGGTCCCTTGCCAAAAGTTTCTGCAAGAACATTCAAGTAAGTTAATCCATCTATACTAATACCAATTAGTATGATAGTCACGTAGAATAAGTTACATTTCTAATTTAAAGTGATCACATCACTTTATACGACTTCCAGAATAGTTGGCAATCCATTGATTTGCGGGCAGAGTTCTGAAAAGAATTGTTCGGCCGTCTATCCAGAACCATTGTCCTTCCCTCCAGATACAGTGAAAGGTATGTACTCAGTTCTCTGATGTTGGTGAGTTCAGATGCATGAAGCAATAGTAAGAAAAAGAAAAAGCCCTTCCCCAGTGCTGTTTTATGTATTAAGAGATTTATATTTGGTTTGTAGGTCAATCAGAATCTGGAGTCAGAAGCCATCACGTTGCTGTTGCTTTAAGTTCAAGCTTCGGTGCAGCCTTAATAGTTGTAGTTGTTATCGGGTTGCTTGTTTGGTGGCGATATAGACACAATCAGCAGATTTTCTTTGATGTTAATGGTAATTCGTTATTTTTTCCGTGTACTATTGGGTTGAGCTTTTTACGATAAATTTTCTTATTATTCTCAACTCCATATTTATGATACAATACTATAGTGTACTTCTAGAATCCTAGTATAGAATCAGTTTGGAAATACTAATTTATTGTAAACTGAGAAGGTCCTGAACGTGAAAATTACAGGGCATATTTTAAAAAATAACTATTAGCTATTCTTAAAGGGGATGGCTATATGCCTTTCCTTAAATTAACACCATAATACTCTTGGCCCTGTTTGGTGTAGCTTAAAAAGCAAAAAAAATATATATATATAAGTTAAAGTTAACAATTAGTTTTAACCACACATTTCATGAGACCCACAATTTTTATCAACTTTTCAACTACACCTTTCATCAACTTTTATCAAAATTTATTAAAAATATGATTTTTAGCTACACCAACAGGGGCTCAAGAAATACCTTTATCTGTGAGCCTAGCCCTTTGCTCTTCCCCTGGTTTGGTAGACGTAGTGTTGTCCTTCACTTTTTCCTTCTTGATTTGAGCTTTTGACCGAGCACATGTTGGTTGGCAGATCAATATGATCCAGAGGTATGCTTAGGTCATTTAAGAAGGTATACCTTTAAGGAACTCCGAGCTTCAACTAACCATTTCAATTCAAAGAATATATTGGGAAAGGGAGGGTTCGGGATTGTGTACAAGGGCAGCTTAAATGATGGGACTGTGGTTGCTGTCAAAAGATTGAAAGATTATAATGCTGTTGGCGGTGAAATTCAGTTTCAGACAGAAGTTGAGACGATTAGTCTGGCTGTCCATCGGAACCTCCTCCGCCTTTGGGGATTTTGTTCAACCGAAAATGAGCGCCTTCTAGTCTATCCGTATATGCCAAATGGGAGCGTGGCATCTCGATTGAAAGGTTTGGAACTTTATATATGTGCTTTTGCATTTTTTATCCCGTTGCAAACCATACACCATGCTTGTTTGGCAGTCTGGACAGTACTAGACATGATGGACAATATATAACCAAGATGTTAACTTCTTTTTATATAGCATCAGTGCTATCCAATAGGTAACTTCGCAAAACCTGATATCTGTACCAGGTCTAATAGGTGTCATTTGTTGTTTTTCTTTCCAGATCACATCCATGGCGGGCCGGTATTAGACTGGTCAAGGCGGAGAAGGATAGCTTTAGGAACTGCAAGGGGGCTAGTGTATTTGCACGAACAATGTGACCCCAAAATTATCCATCGTGATGTCAAAGCAGCCAACATTCTGTTGGATGAAGACTTTGAAGCAGTAGTCGGAGATTTTGGATTGGCAAAGCTATTGGATCACCGGGATTCTCATGTTACAACAGCTGTTCGTGGAACTGTTGGCCACATTGCTCCTGAGTATCTGTTAACAGGTCAATCATCAGAGAAAACCGATGTGTTTGGATTTGGAATCTTACTTCTTGAGCTTATTACGGGCCAGAAAGCTGTGGATTTTGGCCCTGGCACCAATCAGAAAGGAATAATACTTGATTGGGTACGTTCCCTCCTCTCTAGATACAAATTACTCGTGGTTTTGTTCACAATGTGCACATTATTTGAGTGGCCAATAAATAAACCTTATGTTACCTATTTCAGTAATATTGTTTACTGCAATTCTGTACAGACTTTTTCTTGGTATTCTTGTATATTAAACTTAAACATGCTACATCTATACTATTTGACTGGATAGAGCCTAATTATACCTTTTACTTATCCTAGTTTCTAATTATATAGAGGATATTAGGTGGCGCTGTTTTTAATATAGAAGGGGATACACAGGCTGAGAGAGATGTGAGATCTCCATAGCAATCTTCTTTCTCTCAATGTTTAGTAAAAATCTGCAGTTGCTAGTAAATGTAGCTCACTCATTAAGATTGAATACTATATATCTGTGGGATCCTTTCCGTTTTCTGATTTTTGCTTGATCGTTAATTCTCACAGAATTAAGGATTAAGGTTTGATCCATGGCGTATACTAATTTTTCCCGGGGGTGATAAATCTTCCTTGATTTGCTGCATCTAATGTCCAGGTAAAAAAGCTCCATAAAGATGGGAAGCTGAATCTTATGGTGGACAAGGATTTAAAGAACAATTTCGACAAAGTTGAACTAGAAGAAATTGTTCAAGTTGCACTCCTTTGTACTCACTTTAATCCTATCCACCGTCCTAAAATGTCGGAAGTTTTAAGGATGTTGGAAGGGGATGGACAAGTCGAGAAATGGGAGTCGTCCCAAGCATTCGACACTCCTAGGTATCGTACGTTTGAAAATACATGTCAGAGATATTCTGACTTCATTGAAGAATCATCTCTTGTGCTCGAGGCAATGGAACTCTCTGGCCCAAGATAACAGTCAGTTTTGTTTCTTTCTTCTGTATACATGTTCATTTTCAGTGCTATTAATTTTCTAAGCTTAAAATGAAAAATATAGACTGCAATAAACTGCAAGTATTCATCCTGTAAAAAGAAATGAAAGCCATTTACATTCAGTTCACTTTTTCAGTGTGCTGGATTTTAGCAGTGAATATTGGACGACATAGCCAATACGATAAAACTTTGGGGAATTTACAAAAATGTCTAAATTTATGCTGGATAATTAAAATGTGTCTAATTTCAATAATCATTGCAAAAATGGCCAAATTTGATACCAAAACGCCGATTATACCCATAACGAAGAAAAAACAAAACAAAATATTTTTATTTGGATGCTTCAAGAATCAATGAAGTTGCTTTGAGAAGCTAAAATGATGTGCAAGTTATTACTCAATGATTTCATTTCTTGTTTTTATCTAGTGGATAATGATCGATTGAAGATCGGTAGAAGGGAAGATGATGCCTAACATAGTTTAAAATTATTGCATTGTGAAAAAATCTTTGCATTAACAAAGAAGAAAATCATATTGTTTTATTTTGAGAAAATAAAAGAACGAATTTGTGCGTTGATTCGGCTCTCCACAAATTCCAATAGAAATTCGTTTTTAAAATCTTGTTTGTGTTGATAAGTTTAGTTGAATATTGTTATATATGTGATTAAAAGGAAATGAATGATTCCAAACAATTAGTCAAAATAAGTTGTAAGATTATTGGAGTACTCTAAAAAAATTCATATTGATTGTAGTATGTTGCTCATAAACTGTACATCATCCTTAAATAACTTCGATAGCAAGGAATACAAGGTAGTTTTGTATTAACCATAGCAGTAGTGGTGAGAATGAATTCTTTACAATAATAGTGGTTGAAGAAGACGATAAATGCATGTGGTAAGGTTTAATGGCGACATACCTTTCTTGATCGTATCTAAATGTCAAGAATGATATTTTAAATATTTTTCTGAATATTTTTCAAATGTCAAGAATGACCGTGAAAAAATTAGCAAGGATAGGGAACTTAATGTGTCTAGCATTTCAAATGTGTAGCATATTTGTAGCACTTCTTCAATAATGATGGGATGTGGTCTTACATTGTTACCCGACTGATCAACATAACATCTTCTTCTGACTGTATAGCATCAACACGGACTTTATGAACATCGATAGGACCACCAAATGTTGTTGCACGTGGCTCAATTTCATCAACCAATTGGAAAAGGAAATGGGGTGAAGGCTCACCCTATGACGACAGTTCATCAGTTGGGGGATGAATGGAAAAATGAAATGGTTTTCTTCGGGTATAAGGATATTAATTTCTTTGTCGTCTTCGGCATCGAGGTTGATTGGATTGTTAGTTATCAATCTTTGCAGCCATTGCCATACTTTTAGATTGGAAGTGATGTGATATAAATTGCACTGAATGATTACCCACCAACTCCATTTGAATGCCATTATATTGGATTGACAACCTAGGTTTAAAAAGTAGTTCTTGTCACCTCAATGTACTTTTTTAGGTACTTCATACATCAAAGGATTGTCAATTAATGATAAAAGTAGGTCTCTTATTGATAGGTATTCATTTGTTTTCTACATTTTATTGGCTTTCTTGACATTTGGTATATGATAATTTCGACATTTGACATTTCGTCTTTTAGGAACAAGATTTTGAATCAGGGAGAACCTGCTCTAAAATTACAACGACTAATTTTTTAATCATATAAAACCTTCTTAAACCAAGCATGTCGAAGATAAACAAACGAGAAGCATATTACAACTCAATCCGATGCTAAAATATAAAATAGTTTCGTCACCATGTATATGTTGGGGATTGAACCAATATAACAAAGAAGCAGCGGAAACAATTAATCCAACCCCTCAATGCACAAGAATTAAAATGACAACTATAATAGACAAATCCAACAAACTCACACACACTAGTGGGAATATAAATTGAACACCGAAATTTGTTAACGTGGAAAGCCCTGCGAATGGAAAAATCCCGGGACCTAGTCCAGTAAAAGAGCCATCCACTATGAAAATAATGGAATACACAGTAATCTTCTCTAGAACCACTCCAAAGGCTATCACTACATCAAAAACACATCTAGTCTTTCATAAATGCACACTAAAATTAGGAAAATCTCACAGAGGAGTGTGCAAAGTACAGACAAATGAAGAGAAATCTGAACGATCAGTTTCGATCAAAACGTAGCCCTCTTCGCTAGGAACAACATACTAAATTTTCACTTTAATCAGACCATAAATGGATCTCCGATCGTTGGCAAGAAGGAATCAGAACCTTAACTTCTCTCACTCTCCCGTTCTCTGTCTCTGTCTGTTGTATGTGTATATTGTGAATTGTGTTGGTCTCTTCCTTGGCATTATAAGTTGATTATGGGCCCAAGTGGAAAAGCCTTCTAACCATTTAAATGGGTTCCCTCACGTTGAGGGAAAACCCAACAAATCTCCCCCTCCCGACTACGTGTGGGACTCCACCAAGCCTGCTTTCCTTCTACAAACTTATAGTTTCTCCATAGGCAATGACTTTGTCATCATATCTGAACCATTCTCATTAGTATAGATTTTATCAAGTTGTAACTTCTTCATCTCCAAAGCATCTCGAATCCAATAATACCTTACTTCAATATGTTTGGATCTTGAGTGAAAGGTTGGATTCTTACTGAGATGAATAGAACTCTGACTGTCAAAGTAGAGTATATACTTCTCTTGCTCTAAGTCAAGTTCTTGTAAGAACTTCTTCATCCATAGCAGTTCCTTGCTAGCTTCAGTGATGGCTATATACTCAGTCTCTGTAGTAGATAGAGCAACACATTTCTACAATCTTGATTGCCATGAAACTGGTCCCCCTGAAAAAGTGATCAAATACCCAGAAGTAGACTTTCTAGAGTCAACATCACCAGCCATATATGCATTTGTGAACCCGACAAGCTCGGGTTTGCTGGTGCCAAAGGATAAACATATCTTAGAAGTCTCTCTGAGATATCCGAGTATCCACTTCACTGCTGCCCAGTGTTTTTTTCCAAGTTTAGAAAGAAATCTGCTAACAATTCCAACAGAATGAGCAATATCTGGCCTTGTGCAAGCCATAGCATACATTAAGCTACCAACAGCTGATGCATAAGGCACATCCTTCATTTCTTCCTTTTCTTTCTCACTTGAAGGACTTTGGTTTGAACTTAGTTTCAAATGACTTGCAAGTGGAGAGCTTACTGGTGTTGTCTTATTTATGTTGAACATGTGCAATACTTTCTCAATATAACCTTCCAGTGATAGTCGTAATTTTCCATTCTTCTTGTCACGAGAGATTTTCATACCGAGAATTTGATTTGCAGGTCCTAAGTTCTTCATCTCAAAGGACTTGCTCAACTCCTTTTTTAGCTTCTTAATTTTCTTAGTGTCACAACCAACAATCAACATGTCGTCCACATAGAGCAATAGAATAATAAATTCCCCATCATAGAATTTCTTTATGAACACACAATGATCAGAAGTTGTTCTGGTGTACCTATGCTCAACCATGAAGAAATCAAATTTCTTGTACCATTGTCTTGGGGCCTGCTTGAGACCATACAAGCTTTTATTCAACCTACATACCAGATTTTATTTGCCTTTAGCTGTAAATCCTTCTGGTTGCTCCATGTATATTTCCTCCTCAAGGTCACCATATAGAAAAGTTGTCTTTACATCAAGTTGTTCAACCTCCATGTTCATACTGGTTGCCAAGCCTAATACAACCCGGATTGAAGACATTTTGACCATGGGTGAGAAAATTTCTTCAAAATCAATGCCTTTCTTTTGACCAAACCATTTCACAACCAATCTTGCCTTGTACCTTGGTTACGAACTATTTGGTTCAGCCTTTAATCTGAACACCCATTTGTTCTTCAGTGCTCTCTTGCCCTTAGGCAAATCCACCAGATCATAATTGTGGTTCTTATGCAAAGATTTCATCTCTTCTTGCATAGCTTTTAACCACTTCATTTTCTACTCATGTTGTAGAACCTCCTGATAACAGTCTGGTTCTCCCCCATCAGAAAGTAACACATACTCATTACTAGAATACCTCTTGGAGTATTGACACTCTCTAGTAGATCTTCTCAACCCTTCTTCATCTGGTACCTCAAGAAGAACATTCTCTTGATTTTGATCTAGTTCTGCATCACCCTGTGTAGAGACTTCATCATGTCTGTCTCCTATACTGTCATTCTCTTCTTGAACATTTTCTCTGTGATCATCATGTACCACAGGATCTGGTACATGTGGAACTGGACTGATTTGTTCTTCATTGATTGTGTTTGGCTTCTTAGTCTGATCCAAATCTTCAATGGTTTCATCTTCAAAGAAGACAACATCTTTGTTCCTGGCAATCTTCTTATTCATTGGATCCCACAACCTGTACCCAAACTCTGCATGTCCATAACCCAAGAAGATACACTGCTTTACTTTGCTATCAAGTTAAGACCTTTCATCTTTAGGAACATGAACATATACTCTACAACCAAAGACTTTGAAGTGATCAAGAGATATATCTTTCTCTGTCCAAAAGCTCTGTGGAACTTCATCATTCAAAGGAACTGATGGAGAAAGATTAATCAGGTCAATTGCTATCCTCATTGCCTCAGCCAAAAAATGCTTAGGCAATTTTGCATGAGAAATCATACATCTGATTTTCTCACAAATAGTCATGTTCATTCTCTCTACCACCCCATTCTGTTGTGGGGTTTTATGAACCGTTTTCTCAAGCCTGATGCCATATCTTCTGCAGTACTCTTCAAATGGCCCTCTGTATTCACCACCATTATCTGCTCTGACACATTTCAACTGCCTTCCAGTTTCTCTTTCAACTTTCAAATGAAAGTCTTTATAAACTTCCAGCACCTAGTCTTTAGATTTCAAAGAATATGCAAACACCTTTATAGAGTGATCATCAATAAATGTAACATAGTACAATGCACCACCT